CGATAAGGTTCAACGGTTTTCCGTCACATCTGGCCTATTTTCTAATCCCTCCAAATGTTTCGAATGCCTCTTTAAATTATCATGCTCTTCTTTCCCAAATGAACCGGTATCGATGGGCTCTAAACCAGTATCCCGGGTAAACTGTGTTAAATACCTGAGTGTTTTTATTGATACTGATCTTCACTGGACCTCACATTCAACATATCGTCAGTAAGCTTTGACGACTTTCTTTTCATATCCGTAAACTTCGTTAGTTTCGTATTCATGAATCAATTATTTCCAAATTCGTGTACCAGTGTTTTCCCCGTTCATCTGCTATTTTTTCCAATCTTCTTAAGGAAGATTTTAATTTGCTTCGACGTGGACTAACCATCATTAGCCGTGTCTCTACAATCCCGCTAAAGGAGTTGGTAACTAAACTATGCAAACGTCATTTGAATGCATGTGAAAAGTTTGCACATAAGATTCTCATGGACTCCACATATCCATTACATGCAGATTTAACTTCCTGTCGTTCCCACCCTTCCACAAGATCACAATATCGTTGTGTTCCCTCTCGAACAAATATATATTGTAACTTTACAGCACCCTCATTAGCACGTATTCTAGTTGACAAAGAACAGACTTTCACAAACTTTGTTAACAGTTTTCGGATTTAATTTCCGTTTCTTTTCCATTGTAATTGTTTTTTATATATATATTTTCCCCCTTGCCCCAAACTGTGTATTTTAACTGAAATTTAGGCTTCATGCCTGCAGAAGTTATTACAATACAATACAACTTTACCTTATACACAATCTCCAGTTCTTCCAATCAACCATATACAGTCAGAAACACTGGGTTCTAGGTTCGCTCTTATTTGAGCTCATCATTAGTGTGTATTGACCGTCCCGTCCAAGCATTGACATCCGGATTCATTGCACAGAAGGTATGGTACCACTGCGCCAACCCGCTCACACTAAGGCTGAACTTAATTACCAACTCAGGTTTGTTGAAGGATCATCTTCGTCGATTGTCAGTTGATTCATTCTTGGCCCGATAGTAGCGAAAGGAGACTTAGATCACAATCTGTAAAACTCCAATTAGAAGCCTCCGGCTAAATCAGTTCCCTTTGGCACAATATCATGCGATTTGGTAAGTTGCATTATATTGATCTATTGAGTGTAAAATATCCGGCTATTGGACCACTATATGACCATATTCTTTATCAGTCTGATTATTTTTGTTCTTTACCATGTAGTGCCAGTTCTCCCTTAAAATCTTACATCTATGAAAGCTGCGCTTCACAAATGCAGCTCAGTGCTGGGAAAATGGCAGTTCCGAGTAGAGTCGAGAGCCACCTTCCGGTGTCCTTATGTAAATTGCACCCTTGTCTATGCCTAGCCGGTTAGAATAATCGTGGAGCTTTGATAAGGTCATTGCAGTAGGTGCTTGATAACATGCCCTGATAGTCAGACACCACATTTGGAGAGAATTGTAGGCATTGATGAAAGTAGGCCTGACTGTCATCGGCATTGGAAGAGAACTTTTTGATTATTGATAGAAGATATGAGCCCAGGCGTACGGATTCAAGTGGCGGAACATAACCAGCTTACACTGACGTCTGTAAAGATTTTAGAACGAGGTTGGAGCAAAAATACACTCAACTGTTGTGATGTGCTCTCGGAATCTTGAGAACAGCAAGATCTGATCACCGTGTACTTCATACCAGCGAATTCGAACCTCGCTGTGGTATGTGCAACAGCCATTCATCACAGTAATTGTGTAGACTCACTGACAATATCTTTGCGGTCATGTACGTTGCACCAATGCCTCGATATCTGATGTACACACTTTTTCCAGCATTAAATACGGTGCGGGTAGAATAGACATGATATAATCAGTTGAGATTTACTCGGGGTCACAAACCGCATAAAATATCGAATGACCAGGTAAAACAATTCCACTAAAAATACCACCTCTGCCGGTGATGTAGACATTTCGTAACCTAATCGCCCAACTTCGCGAAAGACTGAATGTATGGTATTAATGGTATTAATTCCTTCACCGTGTAAAAGAATGCTACCGAACTGAGTTGATAGCACTCCAAATTGTATAATACAGTCAGTGTGGAGGGAACAAAAAATTTCATACCGGTTGGGTATCCGGCACTTTTCTCTAAGGATAATTTTCGGATGAAATGTCGGCACACATTAAGCAATCAAATTTTTGGAGTTACCGATATAAAACAAAAAGGAAACATCGGCTCCGTAAACCACATTCTCCACCTGCCCGTGTAAGTTTGAATGTGGGCGGCTATTCCAGTCGGAATAATTTTATAGAACGCAACAGGTAAATGTTTGCCGCACGCAGAACATGAACGGGAACTATCCGTGTTTTAGTGTCCTTCCCAAACGCACCATTGCGTGCGTTTGGTGAAACAATCAGGAAAGTAATGCTGGAGTTTGGATGTTATGCAAATGAAAGGGTTACGAAAGTGTGAGCGCTTGACTTCTATCAACTGTGATGGATAGTCTTAGGAGACCTTTTGGCATGTAACCTCTCTACCGGTAGCAGTAGTAGTTAGAGAAGAGTCAATGGTGATCCAGGCGCGGTATTAGATGAAGATAGGAAAATTGTGACTAAGGGAATTGGTCATCAAAGCCATGACAAGCCTTTCGCAATCGGGGGGAAAGAAGCCTTAGGAACGAAATAGCCGGTGTCAAAAAATTGAAACTCAATTACATACTCGGTTGCCCTACAAATTCACCGTTTCCCTCCAGAACCATTCAAGCATTTCATTCACTTTTGATCTGTGGTCTGTAGACGGGTTGCAAAAACTGTCAACCGGAACGAGCGGGAATCAGAAAGATCAACGCACTTACAAGCGAATGTGACAGATAGCACTGGAGGCTAAGATGTAAAGCGACTGTGGTAGAATCTTTTTATTGCCTATTTCAAAGTGACAAATAATAGACAGGATGGGTAAGAACCACTTAAGAAAAGTGATGGCATAAGAAGCGTGACGGCCTCAAAATAGGATCCCAAAATCAACATTCTATCGCGCTTTTGACGTAGCGAGATAAATCAAAATGTTTTGAGTTATAAAAGTTGTCAAATATAAAACTGAAGAATGATAGAACCTATCTAGATGATAAATGGCGCTTGTTTTAAAAGATAGTCATGATTAATTAGGTGG